CACCCTATTTCGCACCTTAACACTTTCTGTTGCACTGGGCAGAAGATGGTTGAATTTTCCCTGTTTTTTTCTCTTTTCCACGTGAAGTTTTTGCCAAGCAGCTGGATGGGCACCCACCCCAACAGCAGCACAGACACTGGGCCCCGATCTGCAGCGGGAATCCCACCAACCGAATCCGGGGCTGCGACAGATACGGCTGCGGGAATTTCGGCGCTGACAGGTAACACGGTGGGCACTGGGACTCTGGGGTTCACTGCTGCTTTCCTAAATTAAATTTTCAGGCAGGAGAGAGTACAGTTAAATAGAGATCACACTTAGAATGAGGGAAGACTGTTGTTGGCAGGACCTCTTACCCATTTTTGGGATATTCCTCAGCAATCTCCCAGAAGTGCAGTGCTGCACTGCTGGCAACCGATGCAGGGGTGAAGCAGGGAGACCATTACATGACACACAGCCAAAGGAAAGGAAAGTATTTCAAGGATTTGTGTCATTCTTGTTATTTAACAAGATATTTAACTAACATTCAGCAGCAGCCCAGTAGTTTCATTCACACAAACTAAAAGTCTGTCAGCACTGTTGTCATTAAAGAGAGACCTGACAACACAGCAAGTTATATGTCCCTGAAAAATGCTTTTATAAGTATTTATAAGTCTCCTGCCTTCCCTGCATTTTCCTGCTGTCTCTTCTCCCCAGGCTCTGTAAGAAGTTTCCATCCTCATCATGTCACTTCCAAACTTCTAAATGAGAAAATGCCAAACATAAGATTCCATTTCACATGGGCACAGATGTATTTTGGGGTAGAACAAGGCTACTTCACTATAACACCTTGAAATACCCCATGAACTTGGGAAAATTAAAAATAAGCTTAAATTTGATATTTAAAGAAGGCCAGAGGAACGTGAACATTTTGCAATTAAAAAAAAAAAAAAAAGGACCAAAGCTGCTGTTTTCTAATTTGATTGCAGGTACAAAAATTCTGTTAGACAAGCTTCAGTTATCTGATAAGGATACATAACATTAACCCTGATAGATGTGTATCTGATATTGATACATAACATTAACCCTGACAGATGTGTATCTGATATTGATACATAACATTAACCCTGACAGATGTGTATCTGATATTGATACATAACATTAACCCTGATAGATGTGTATCTGATATTGATACCTAACATTAACCCTGACAGATGTGTATCTGATATTGATACCTAACATTAATGCTGACAGATGACTCTAAGGATGGATTTATGCTTCCAGGGACAGTGGCAAAGGAAAGCACAGGGGGGTGGATGTCATCTGCCGGGATGGAGCCACCGTGTACGCTCCGTTCAGCGGGCAGCTCTCCGGACCCATCCGGTTCTTCCATAATGGGAATGCCATCGATGATGGAGTCCAAATCAGCGGATCAGGCAAGTAATGAACACCAGGTATGCTGTGAGACGTGCACACAAGTAATCAAAGTAATCACTCCATTTCCTTGAGTAAGGTTCCTTCAATTCAAGCACAGTGCTGATTAGTGTCACACCCTCTCTAGCACGCTGAAATTTTGGAAGGCAGCACATCAGCAGGATATAGTCCTTTCCTATGCTTTTCCCGGAGAGGAGGGAAGAAAGGACTTGGAAAACATGTAGCAGGAAAACAACAACCCCAAATAATAATAAAAAAAGGAAACAGTAAAAATAAAGCATCAGAAGTACACCCTCAGCTTTGCCGAGAGGATGTTTTCCTGTCCCTGTTTTCCAGCTCCCTTCTCTCCTCTTTTCCACAGCAAATCCAGTAATTTTGATTTCACGGTTGTTGGTACCTTGATGACATTTCTGCTTCATCCTTACAGTCTCCAGTAAGAGGCTGGCAGGGAATGCTTCTTGCTTTCCCAAGGAGCAGAGGCAGCTGATGTTTCCTGACCTCCCTTCCTCTCCCGTCTCCTCCAGGTTACTGTGTGAAGCTCGTCTGCATTCACCCCATCCGGTACCACGGCCAAATCCGCAGGGGGCAACAGCTTGGGAGAATGCTGCCCATGCAGAAAGTATTTCCTGGCATTATTTCTCATATCCACGTCGAGAACTGCGACCACTCCGATCCTACCCACCTGCTTACGCCCGGTAAAAAAACCCCAAACAACAAAAAAAGCAGCCCAGAATAGGAGTAGAGTTGCACTCAAGGACCTGTGATTCTCTCTTTGAATTTTTGTCTCTAAAGCATGTCTGAGATATTACTATCCAGCTTAGTTGTACATTCTACTTACATTTCCTGTAAAGATGACAAATCCTGTGGAGGGAAATCCGACCGCACACATGGGATGTAATTCCAACATGTTCTTACCCAACTGCATTAAAACACAGCAGTCACAAACACGCCAGGCTTAAAACAATCAGAAAGGTAACCTTGATGTGCTGTGTTTCTGTGTTTCAAAGACGTCCCACCACTGCCACAACAAGACAGCGGCTGGGCCACGGTGTGTGCTGGGAATCCCACCAACGAGATAAGGGGCTGTGATAAGTACGGCTGCGGATACTACGGAGCTCCAAGGTACCATGCCATGGGAACACGTGGGGTTTTGTTGTTCCTCCACTGAAATAAGAGTTGAATGCTGTTTAAGTCACTTAAGAATCACAGCTTTGGAGGTTTGGGTTGGACATGAGCAAACTTTTAGGCCGCACACATTGTTGATAACACTTCTCTGCTTGGAGGTTTTTATCGCTCTGACTAAGCTGTGCCTGACCTGGTGTTGGGAACAGTCCTGACTTGATGTCCTTCACACAACTAAACTTTCTGTGACTCTATAGTTCTATTTAAGACTCGGAAGAAAGGCTTTTTCTCCAGCCCTAACAGGTCACCCACCCTATTAAACCACCAAAAATCCTTTACGGATCCTTCAGCCAGTCTGACACTACTTCCATCCTAACAACCCATTTCCAGGTATCACCCCATGCTGCCTGCTCTCCCTCTATAACAAGAGATGTCTCTAATTCCATCCCTGTTTCCAGACGCAATGGCAAAGGGAAGCACAGGGCAGTGGATGTGATCTGCGCTGACGGAGCCACCGTGTACGCTCCCTTCTCCGGGCAGCTCTCCGGGCCTGTCAAGTTCTTCCACAACGGAAACGCCATCGATGATGGAGTCCAAATCCGAGGCTCAGGTAAACGGCTACTCTTCATTTAATGTCTTTGAGGTCACACAGGATGTGTTACCTTGCAGCTACCAAGTACTTCAGCAGGGTAAATGTCTTCTTCTATCCACCTACTCGCAGAACTTTTTGCTCCCGCTACAATGCCAGAGTGTCTTTGAGCCCTACCCTTTACTAAAGCAGCAATTCCCACCTTTTCCCTGCCTTCCATCTTCCCTCTTCCACCAAGTCAATGACTTCAACCACTGCTTATTTTTTATGACCATAATGCCTTTGCTATTTTGGTATTTTCACTATTGCTGTCTCAGTGGAAAGGATAAGACAGAAACTGTTAATATTTCTGAAACAGAGTTAGTACAGAAAAACAAACACTTCATCAGTCACCTGACATTTTCCCTCCTTGCTTTCACCAGGGTTCTGTGTAAAACTACTCTGTATCCATCCCATAAGATACAATGGTGCAATTTCCAAGGGACAAGTCCTTGGGAAAATGTTGCCAATGCAAAGAGTATTTCCTGGCATCACCTCTCACATCCACATTGAGAACTGCGATCGCTCGGATCCTACAAGCAATCTCGAAAGGGGGAAAGGGCGAAGAGAGTGAAATGGAAATGCAGCAAATTCTAAATAAATTCATCTCAGCATCCAACAGTTGTTTTTTCTCCTCATGAAAAAGTCTATGCTATTACTGATTCACTACTCTGAGTGTTACACAAGCAGTGTCTCTAGTGGAGGCTCACACAAGGGAAAAAGATTTGAGTTTTTGTTGGAGGGAATTGGGGAATTAGCAATGATTAGTTATAAGCTTTCTCAAAGAGCCTGAAAAATCAGCTAAAATGCAAACTAGCTACCCCCTCATGTGGCAGAGAAGGTGCATGACTGCCAGCTTCCCCCTCAAGTACCAGCCAGCCTCACTTAATATCAGCCAGCAGAGCAAATGCTCCAAAAAAAAAAAATCAGTGCATCAAAAATCACAGTATTGATAAATGCAGGCCTGTTTCTCTGGAAGTCTGGAGCTGGACCAAGCAAACATTCCATGGCTGGTGAGCTTAAAGGTCTCTTCCAGCCTTAGCAGTTCTATGTTTCATGGCTTCTCAGAAAAGCTGCTTCAGTGAGAAGGACTGAAAAGGGACAATACTCAAAGCAGCATTTTAGCTCTCTAGTCACTAGTGGTTGGTTATTCACTGACACTGTTCTGATGGCTGGAGAGACACAAAGGACTCCACGACTCCCCAGCCACCCACAAGATTTGTCCACATTCCATTTTACAGTTTACATGTCAGAAATCCTCAGGTTTCAGGCACAAACATGACAATGACTCATTTGGGATAATCGAAGAGTTAAACATTCCTTTGGCCTCTCCCAAGGTTTGTCACATTTATGGTTTCTACCAGGACAGAATCCTAACAGGACACAGTGCCTCAGATGGATAAGAGTCTAATTAAGCAGTGCATGCATTAAATCACTTTGTTACATTTCCATTTAAAGCAAATCAATATATCTTAAACCAAATACTGTTTGGAAATAGTTCAGTCTTTTAAAAGAAAATAACTGATTCAGGTAGTGTGTGTTACCTTCAGTCCTTTGGCTTCCAACTGGGAACTGGAGATGGCTGAGCACCTGCCTGCCCATGGGATGTGGTTAATTAATTCCCTTTTTTGGGGTTGTTTGCATGTGTGGCTCTTGCATTACCTATTAAACTGTCTTCATATCCACCCACAAGTTCTCACTTTTACCCTTTCCAGTCTCTCCCCCACCCCACTGGGTGTGTGGGGCTGAGCTGCCAGCCAGGGTTAAACCATGACAGTGACAAACACCACCAGCTAATTAATGTAGAATTCTCATTATCAACAGGAAGACAGACCAGGTACAGCGTGAAAGTGATTACAGCAAAATTTATATACAGTGAGTTTTAGTTTACAGTGAGCAAAATGTCAACACAAAAATACAGACTCTAATTTACATCAACTCACCATGCCTCTCCCCTTTTAAGAAAATAAATATATTAAAATCTTCTTTCTTAAAAAACAATTAGTAGCAACAAGTATTAAACAGTCCTGAATTAAATATTTCAGGATCACCTCCAGCAATCCTTTCTCTAGAAATCAGGGCTTACAGCACAGCCAAGATCACTACAGGCCATCCTGGCCTGTCAGTGACAAGTAATGTAAGTGCTCTAAATCCTGGATTCCACACAGAGAGGGATCAAAGACAACTCTATTCCATTTGTTCCTTCCTTCTCACCAGCCACATTTATGAAATCCTTCTTATCTCTCAATTATGAAAGCATGGAACAGCATTTCAGACAGTCTGAAAGACCAAATCCCAAGCTATTCCTTATATCCCAACAGTTTCCAAAGTGCCTTATTACTCACTCAAGCAGTCAATCCAGCTACAAACTTTTACATTCATTAATTTTAACAAAGTCTCTTTCTCACCCTTTTAATGCATAGGACAAAACCAACATACTGTACAATGCAGTCTCAACAGCTTCACTACTGTGACAGAATTATTTAAAGTGCAATTTAATGCTTACAAAAAAACTTTACAGTTTCAGCTTATTAAAATTTTAATATAATACCGTGAGTTTAAACTAGATTACATCTGATTAACCTGGGCTAGTGTATTTTAATGTACAAGCTTTTACAATTAAAACATGAATATTTATAAAAAAAGCTATATAAAACATCATGACAAATAATACTGTACTCCAAGTTGTATACAGCTTTCCATAAGATTGATTTCCTAAAGGAAAAAAGTTACCCTATTCCTCTTCTGACTACATCAGAAAGATTAAACAAAGACATGAAAAAAAACCAAAACCACTTTAAAGTGAACAGAACATTTAAACTGAAGTTCAGAGAAGCCCAAGTTCACTGAAGTTTGAAGCACCTGTAAACCACAGAACTGTTAAGTACACTTTAATCTATCTTCTATTTCAATATACAATTAATATTCTAGAGTGTTTTGCTGTTAGTCTACCAGAGGTTCTCAAGGTAGAAAAACTCAAATCTGGAAGTAAGTTTTCACATTTCCTTTTGAAATTCCTTATTTGCATAGAAAGCAACACCCTGATTTCACCCCTTTATCCACAAACGGAGAGAGAATTTACCACGTTGGCATCATATCAGGAAACCACATCCTGCCGAGGTGCTTGGAGACCTCCAAATGCAGCCGATCCAAGCTGTAATCGCTGTCTGGGATCAGCACCTCCTCCATGATGGACAGCTGGGTGAGCCTGCCCCCACACATCTTCACAAACTCCACGAAGCCCCTGCAGGTCACCTCGCACTCCCCCAGGCCCATGGCCGTGAGGTTCTTGCAGCGCTGGGCGATCTGGATGAGCTCAGCATCCAGGGGCTGCAGCCCGTTGGCGCACACGACCAGCTCGATGAGCCGCGGGCAGTTGATGCCGATGCGGCCCAGCAGCGCTTTGCTCACGGCGCGCCCGAAGTACAGGTGTGTGACCGGCGTCTCCTCCCGGAAGAACACGTCAAACTCGTCCTCGTACAGGAAGAAGTACATCACGATGTTCACTTTGGGGGAGTGCTTGACGAGAGCGTCCCAGCTTTGCTTTTTGATGGTGTGGAATTCCACCTGCCCGGGGTTCTCGCTCACGACGTCGATGCGAAGGTGCTCGAGGTCGACGTGCTTCTCGCTCGACAGAGCCAGCAGAAGCTCATCACTTAAGATGTAGTAGTTCAAAGCCAGCTCCTTAAGTCCGTGGCACTGATCAGCGACACAAAGAATGCCTGAGGAACAAGAAAAATTAACTCTGTAAAATGAAAAGCAAATATAAGCACAGTTGTTTGCTGTAAAGCTCAAGCAAGTACTGATTCTATTGGCTTGAGTTTCCATGCTTATATCCAAAACCCCTGAAATATTGAAGTTCTAGGTATCCACAGCATTTTACAGAGTTCTGGCCATCAACATTTATCAGTAAAAGATCCAAGTCTAACTAGTCATACTCATACTGGATCTGCTTATCTTCCTCTTTGCCCTTCCCTATGCAGCTTTGAAGCAGTAACTGAAATTAGGTCAGATTCAGCTGAAGTCGACACTTTTCCCTTCTTCCTTCAACTTACATCCACATTGTTTAAATCACCACCAGCAACCTTGTTTAACAGTTAAAACAGAGCCTTTCGAGAATTAAGATATAAACAACATAACTGCTCTTCATCTGCTGGAATACAAAGCACACAGATTAGATCACCTTTTGTGGACTCCAGAAAAGAATACAGGAGATAGACCAGTCCCAGATTCCCTTTCCATAGCATTAAGGTTTCAGGAGAAAGGAAAGTGGGACCCAAAAGCCCTCTGAGGTTTCCAGCAAGGGAGTATTCCGAAGGCAGTGAGCCCTTCACCAACCAGTGAGTTCAGATCTAGATCCGGACACACGAGGGCCCTACAGAAACTGAAAACACTCCCAGTCTTCACCACTAGTTTGTGCAATTTGTACACACTCAGAGCACCTTGCAAAGCCATTACTGACACTCTTTTAATCTCCTTTATCCCACCAAGCAGTAGTTGATTCATGGATCAGGGATTTTGTGTGTGTGTTCCCATTATTGTTTTGATACTTTACAACCCCGTTTTTCACATATATTCACTACTCACCAGCAGGTGAAACGTGAGGACAGCTGCTCATTTTTAGCAGTTTTAGAGTGTCACTGTTGTTAGCAACAAGAACCTTCAGGGAAGGATCATCAACTGGTGTGTCATCTATCTTGATTGATGATAATGACTTGGAGTTTACAAAAACTACTGTCAGTGCTGAAGCAAAATGAGCCTGTTTGGAGAAATGGAAGGAAGGAAAAAAAGTCTTATGAAAAGATGGGCAGAACTTCAGCTTCCCAACCTCACATTCTGCACATACAGAAAGTAGAAAAATAATCACTTCTCAGTCATTCCCTTTCTTGTGCAACAAAGAAAGGCTTATTTGAACATGAACATAGGGGATCTTTGTTTAAAAACACGCTGCTGCACATGACAGAAGTCAACTTTACACTCAGTAATTAACTCATCCACTCTGATTTATTGTTTCCCTGTATTAAAACAAGGATAAGTGGACACAGTGATGAGCCCAAAGTACCTCGTTACAGTTTGTAGAACATTACCTTAGAGACATTCATGAAGCTTGGCTTTGCTGTAGAGATTAAACCCAGTGTCTTGATTGAACAATTCACCAGCTGAGAAAGGATGTCACAAGCTGCTTCTGCTGACTCAGTACTACTATCAACCTGTAAAAGCAATTTTAAAATAATGAAGTCATTCTTCAGTATTATTGAAAAAAACAGCACCATGGATACCCAAGACTGCAAGTTCCACACCTGGTCAGCTGTGCTGCTCCAGCCTGCAATTACCACAGGGACAAAGTGCAGCATTAATCAGAAATTTCAAGATAAGAACAAGTTCAGGAAAGTTCAGGAAAATTTTCCTGAGTATGACTGCTGGGCATTTCTAGTATGAACAGAGACCTTAAATCTGAGCCTTCTCTTCAAATAACCTCATGTTATTCCAGTCCTGTAACAGTACTGGTGCTACAACAGGCAGTGATATGTACTTTTTTTAAATGCCAACTCTCGGAGCCCAAAAAAGACTTGGCAAAGTCTAGATTTAATCCATTTTATCTGCATGGACAACACCTTTGCATCTTAAATAATGAACTGGTTCTCAATTCCTTAGCCTGAAGAGTGACTTTGGACAAGTCTCTGTTTCATCTCACCTTCCCTCCTCTGCCTTGCACGACAACGGCTCTTTCTTCACTTTGTAGAGATTAGAGTGTGCAAAATTGAAGGAAGCTGCCTGCACATGTGGAAATAAATTGCTGCAAGAACAGGACTTCCCAGGTCCAACCCTTAATGCAGCTGACAGAGAGCAGCTGCATGCCCTGCACACAATAAGGTGACACAGCAGACGCAGCTCCAGGCTTACCTTGAAGCTGACGTACTGCAGGTGATCAGCGTGCCTCTTGATAATCTGCTGAATGAGGTCTGGGTGGGTAGACTTTAAGTAAGAAGTGGCTGGCTGGCTGAGTTCAAATTCAAATCTCCTCCAGAGATCTGGGATGTGAAAAACCTCATTCCACCTTCGGCAAACAGAAGACGCCCTGGCTCGATCCACCAGAGTGAGGAACTGGAAAACACGCAGGATCACGTGGTGGGGGAGGCTGCCCCAGTCCATCGAGGTGCACAGGGCAGAGTCACCAAACACTGAGGCATATGAACTAGTTTTCTGTTTTTTGCTTGTCTGTGATGTGTGAGGAGCTTCAGTTCCAACCACAACTCTCTGCCCAGCTCTCTTCATCGTGGAAGTTTCAGGGGCTGTAACGATCCGATGTGTTCAAACGGCAGTTTCCTGGAAGAGCTCACGCACAGCAGGGCTCTAGAAAAATACAGGATATTAGGGGAGGAAGGGAGACAGGGCAGTGGAAACACAGGAAGAGATAACAAGGTAATAAAGTTTAAATATAGCATGTTACTCTGAAAAGAAGCATGTCCATATGTCCATATCCAGTGCACAGATGTTGGCAAGGACCTTCTCTCTCAGTACCTTTTATTTTGTACAACCTGATTTGAATCTGGAGAACTCGGGTTTGTTAATTTACCAGGTATAGTTTCATGTGTTAGTACTTCACAGTACATAAAGCACTTTGTAGGGAAAAAGAAGTATAACAGCAATTTAACTTAGCAGTAAAAAACTGTTTCAGTTTAAATTTAATCTCAGCAACCAAACTATGGAATCTACTAATGATTCCTAAAAAGTTTATCATCAACTACAGAACCTAATTCATAAATTCTATTTAAACAGATAAACCTGGGACAGGCATGTCAGTGTCATATTGAAAAATTTTGCCCACCTTCCCTTTGCTTTTTTTTTTTTAATTTTAAATCATGTCAGGCAGGGGGAAAATGTTTGTACAACTAACAACAAAAAACTTCAGAGGCCACTCATCAAAGCAGGGCAAAGTAAGTGAGGTTCACGTGCTGGTTTTCAGCAGGAGAAAGGACAGTGACCTTGGAATTCAGCAAACTGCATGGATCTGCTTCACTGAGGGCCAACTGCCACATGAGCCAGAGCTCAGGAAAGAGCAGCCTAAGGAAAAGCTTTGCTTTCCCAGGCTGAAGCAGCACAACCTACCCAAGACATTCTGGACTGAATTCTGTGATTCACTCAATTCTCAGCAACAATCTTTGTTTCAATTGCCACTTCATTTCACAGCAGGCTGAGGCCCCTTCTCAAATGTCCCACTAATCAGATGTTCAGCCAGACCTTCTCTCTTCCCAACCAGCCTGAAGGATTTTCCAGTGCGTTTTTCAAGAACAAACAGAGCACGTTATCTAGTTTTTTTACTGAACAAACTTCCATGGCAACTCTCACAGAATGCTTTTTCTGGTCTGAAAATTTTCCATAGTATCCTCATTATGGGGGAAAAAAAAATCCACCCCCTCCCAGTCCCCAGTATTGCAGAAACAGCTGCCAAAATACATACTATCCTATCAAAAACTTCCCTGGCCTTTTCCCCAACTTATAAAACCTGACCTGTCTGGCTGATGAGGTGTCTGACACCCAACCCACAGCTGCATGAAAAGAAAGCATGTGCATTCTTAGGGAAGTGGGAAAGAACAACCTACCCAATTAATTAAGAGCTGTTCACATGACCAGCTTCACTACTGTTTAACCTCCTGACAAATTATCTCAACCACCAAGAAATTTATTTCAGCAGTTGTTATAAATCTTCACTCAGACTACTCAGAGTTCCATTAATGATTGGAATCAGCAATATATGAAGCTAAGCTACCAATACTCTTTAAATGATATTAAACAACAGGTTTTCTTCCCTGAATAGACACGTGACTTACATTAACAGTGTTACTAATGGAATGAAGATGCAATCTCAGCATGAATAAACATTTTGCTACTAGACCAACAAATTATCATCCACACAACCATCTTTTATGACTTTTGAGTGCTTTAAGTCACACGATGAATGGGCATTCCAAAGCATTAAGTGTGGATGTAGTAATTAACCATTGCACAACTCTTGCAGTTGCTCATAGCCTTGCTAAATTTAGCAAAGGTTAAACACCTTTTGAGTCAAATACCTGTTGTTTGTTTTTCCTCCCCCCTCCTCCAGAGGAACTATAAATTTAGCTGTTTGCTAAATCTAAAGTCCAGATTAAAAAATGAAATTTAACAAATTCTGTTGGCTGAGAAGCTTCTCTTTGCTACTGCTGTTCTCGTGCAGATCTGCAACATCTTGGTTAAAGATAAGTTTCTGATAAAAAGGGAAATTTTTGCTGTCTTATGCAAAAATAACTTGGGTGCTGATTTGGCTCCCACAAAGAAGTTCTGGCATCTGAGAACAACCAGAAAGGGAATTCCCCTAAACCACAGGTCAGGCTACAGCCCACAAGCAGCACATCCACTCCAGATGGATGAAGACCTGATGGAACATGGCCAGAACTTGTTCTTGTTGCTACATCCTTTAGCAACTGGTTATGTCCAGAATTTTTAATATTTTATACTGCAGTCCTTTAAATCTACCAAAATGAGTTCATTTTACTTGCTGTGGGATGCAAAGCCAGAAAAAGCTTCCGTTGGTTATGCATCAAAGTTTTTACCAAACATGAAGCCCCAGTATTTACTGTGAAATATGAATGCTTATTTCCTTCTGAATACTGAAACTATGAGCAGTATATATTTGAAAACACAACTGAAGTTCACTAAATTATAGTTCCACGTGATACAATCCAGGCACTATTCACTGAGAGGTTTACAGGCACACATACCCCAAAGAATGTGGAGGTTCCTGTCAAGTTACCAGCACCTTTCTGGTATCTGAACATCCATCCCACTGTTGAGTCATCCTGTGTGTGTGCATGGAGTCCTTAACCAGAAGGCAGGGACGGGTTCCAGAAGATGAACCGACCTGTGAAGCCATCAACCAAATTAAAACTGTTCTGCAGTGTCTGGGAAACCCCCAGGAAGGACTAAAATCAATTCTGGAACAGAGATGAGTAGGACACACTGCTCTGCAGGGCAGATGTGGAAGCAGAACAACAATATGTGCCAAGCAGATTAGTTTTACCAAACACTGTCTGAAAAATATCATTTAACTAATGGGAAGGTGTCATTATTGGCAAAAATCTAGTTCTGAACTACAATTTTAGTCACATGAGCACTCTTATGCAACACAGATACACCTCTGGATTCTTGAATATTACCTAAAGAAATTACAAACCTGGGTAAGAAGTGTTTATTTTTTCAGCTTGCTGTATACCAAAACCACATGATTCAGAAGAGTTAAAGATATGAGTTTTAATGCTTTGAAATGTAAAGACTCTTGGCTTTCAACTTTACTCAGTCTTACTCCACAAGTATGTTTACTGCATCATGATAATCTTAAAAGTGAAAAAACTACTTTGGCCAATTAAACTGTTTCTGGAAAAAAGATTCATATATATGAATATCCTCCCATGTACTAATATGGAAAAACTACCCTGTATCTTACTATGAAAGAGCATCTTGGTCTGCTATAAAAAAATACACCCAAAACCTCCACATTCAGTTCCCCATTTTACATTATTTGAAGATGTTTTAAGGGAAAGCTACAGGAACAGCAACACACACCTCACTAAATCATGACAGATTTTAAAAGTAGATTTAGAAATGCAAGATGTTTACCAAGTATTGTGTTCAACCAGTAATAACATCTTTAGAAACCTTCCAGTGCTGAACTTCTTTATTTTTCTTTAAAAGATGGGACACGAGGCTTTAAGATTCTCCCAGATCATATCATCACCTTGTGGAAAACTACTCAGTTAATATCAGCTTTATAGCTGTAAAGTGTAACACTGGTGGAGTACATGTGTTATTTATGAACAGGGGAGAAGCAGCTCCCACCTCCTCTGCAAAATCCAACTCAAGCCCTGCAACCTGTGCAAGGAATGCTGCTGCTGCTCAGCTCACACACCAGGGAATTTAAGAGCTGAACAGTCATGCTTGTCTAGCACGAGAAAGTTGATATTCATTAGCAACTCTGTTCGTGGGTGGCACCTGAAGAAACCTGTCACTTATGGTGGCCTTGCACTGCACAGTCTACAAGTGCCACGTGTTCTCTCTCCTGGGAAGGGAGCAGAGTCTGTGCAGGACACAGAACTCATTTTCACAAGTACTGTCAGTGTCTAACAAATAGAAGGTAGGTTCAGGACATATAAACAGAATACATAAATAATCTTATGATTGAAAGTACAAAACACTGAGATGCAATTTAAAGATCCAACACAGAAGTGTATTAAGTTTATAAACCACGTATTTTGAAGCAACTTCCTTACCTAAAGAATGCTTCCAAGTTACACTTGGCAGTAAGTGAATGAACTGAGGCAGCTGCAGCCATGGGGCACTCACATGCATCTGTCTGCTTTCCCCTCCTGTCCAGGTAGAATGCCACAAAAACCTTTATTAGTTTTGAAAAAAATAATCCTCATACTACACACAGTGCAAAAATTATAGGAAAGTACGTTGGCATCAATTTATACATTTTCTTGCTTTAGTAAAGGAGCTTGAGGGTACCATCTTAACACAGGGCAGCTCATCCCACACTGCAAATACTGGCACTGAGAGAACTGTGAGATCAGATTAAACACAAAACTGATGGGAAACAAGTGCTGCAACTGCATTTACATTGTACTGGTCAACAGCACAAGGCAAACAGTAAGTTATTCAGTATTTGCATTATCATCACCACTAGTGGTGAAGTTTGGAAAACGACACTGTAACTACTAATGTAATCTAGGAGTAATAAAAAACATAGATAAAAAAAAAAAAAAACCACAACAACAAACCAATAAATGTTTTTCCTCCTTGGCCAGGGGAACTGTGAGAGATGATGAGCACACATGGCACAGGCTGCTGCCACCAAACGTGCCGCAGCCTTCGCTCAGCACCTGCCCCGGCTCTGGCTGCAGTCACATGGCAGGAGCTGCAACAACCACCCACCCACCGCAGCCTCCTCCCTGTTTACGAGCTCCCAGAACAGCCTGAACCATCTGGGAAGGAGGATCACAAGGCACCGCAGCAAGGGCTTCACGTTAAAATCCCCCACGTCCCTCTGCACTGTTTTAATACTACATTACAAATAAGTTTGTGTCTCGCTGTCTTCCAGCATAAGCAATCACTCCAAGCTTTACCCTCAACCGTATCACTATTTTCTTTTATAAAAACATATCAAATAACTGAAATCTTCGTTGGGATGAACTTTACATGCCTATCACAGGAGTGGGGGAACCCTTCCACCAGTCCTAAACTCAGTATTCTTCCCAACACTTCCCAGTGTGGCTGCAAGCAAAAGTAATTATTAATAGTAAAGTCACACCTGAAAATTAGGAAAAGGACAGTAATAGTTATTTATAGTAATAAATGTATCAAATATAGATAGTCAAAAAAGACTGCCTACAATGCTCAGCAGGCTTCTGAATGTCACAAATGTTGGACTGGTTACCTGTAACAGCTGAATAACCACAGACTACCCCCAAGAGGAAGGGAGCTTCTCTTGCAGAGACCTGTCCTAAAGACCCTCAGTACAGGAGGAAGTTCGTACTTTTACATTGCAGATAAAAGGTAGCAAATTTTAGATACTACATTAGAAAAAAAGTTACTGAAAAATTCTTGTTAGCAAAAAAAAAAATATATATATAATCAGGTGTATACCTAACATACATCTGAGTGTCCTAGGCCACAAGAACCATCCAAAGCACCTTAAATCATGTTAATTTAGGTAAGCAGTAATTTTTATAATAAAAAAGCCCTAGTTATCAGAGATGCAATCAAATACAAGCTTGTTATGCAAATGACAGTGAATTGTCATCTAAGGTAGTTATCGAAGATAAACAGCAGCAACACAGTCATTGAAATGAAACACTTCAATGACTGATGAGGTTCATCAAATCTGTCCATATCCTCATTAGTGTAAAGCAAAGTATCAAAAATTTTACCCATCCAGCTCTTTTCCTCTACAAGCTCTTTGACCTAAACGTCCTGTGATCAGGTACTTTGCACAGCTGCACATTATCCTACTCAAACTTCCTCAAATCCACAAACAACAGCAGGGATTCAGAGAAAAATCAGGTTAAATAACTCTGCAACTTATCCTGGTAATAGAACCATAAACTTCTGCTAAAATTAAGCCATTAAAAACCTCTCCCATGGCAGGGGGAGGGTCGGTGGTGGATGTGAGAATTGGTCAGCAGTGGCTCTGTTAAGCAAGCAGCTGCTCACTGCTTCCCACGTTACAGTATCAGTGCCAAAAAAAAAAAAAGGGGTTTTACTACTATAACCCAACATATGAGAGATTCAAGCCCCAAAGAAATAACTGTTTTCTCTGACTTCTAGATTTCCCTTTCACTTCTCAACAGCAGGAATTAATAAAACACCACAAAAACAGATTTCGAGATAATAATAAAAAAAAAACAAAACCACTGAAGTAACACCACCAAAACCAAACGCAATTCCTGAGATATAAAAGCCCTTTCAAACAACCAAGCTTGGAAATCCTTTGGGATAAAGCAGGCATCTGGGTAATTAAGCTTTAACTTTCTAACACTTGGAAATGAATGTTTAGGGACGTGCCTTTAACAGCTGAAATACCGGTCCCATTAGTCGCAGTGTCTTTAAGAAATCCCAGTCCAGGGAGAGCACTGAGGAATTCGGAATTCTGTCTGTCTGGGGAACAGGAGCAGCAGACACACTGCACACAAGGCAGGCAGCCCCGGAAAGCTGCTACCACCTCAAATCCAATCGCTGAGCACGTCTCAAAAATTAGGTAAAAAACACATTTTAAGCTTAAATCTCAGAAGATCTCCTCCTGCAGAACGATGAGCTCCAAGATTAAGCTTTTTCTTCATCTAGGACACAGCAGTCTTCTAATGGGCGGCATTTTTGCTTCCGAAGTGGATTATTATTTTATTTTAACCAGTCCTCGTTTTTCCCAAAACTGAGCCTCTGAGCCTCCCTCTCAAGGGATTTATCGCATTTTTAGCATGTTTATGACACATCCTCAAGAGACCTAAAAATAAACCACGCTCAGCTGCGCTAGTTTTAACTTTACACAAACGCACTGCGCTTTCAGCGATGAAATTTAGATACTGGTGCTCTACCAACGCACTATTTTTAGAAGGAAACAGCCTTTAGACCGTGCCCGACACCCGGGACCCCTCGGTCCTACCCGGGGCCGCACCTGAAGCTGCTGCGCACGGAAAAGCTCTCTCGAGGGTTCTCCCACACAGGGGGAAAATAAATAAATAAATAAATTTTTAAAAAATCGTTACTCTCCCAGCTTCTCCAGAAACGTTCCTACCCGACTTTAACGAGTCGTTTAAGGGCTCTTGACGCTATAAAATCACTCCCGGGTGCTCCCCCAGCTCCGGAGTGGGGGGGGGGGGGGGGGGGGGGGGCACAACGCGCCGAGCCCCTCCCGAGGTTTGGAGCTCGGGGCGGGGGGGATTGGAGGCTCCGGGCGCGGAGGGCGGCTGGCTGGCTGTCCCTGTGCGTGTCTGTCTGTCCGTCCCTCTGAGTGTCCGCCTGTCTGCACGCCGGTCCCGCAGCCCAGGCCGCCCCCGTGGCCGCTCCCCCCACTCCCCCCGGGGTCCCCCCGCTCACCGCCGCCTCGGCGCGGCTCCCTCGCAGAGTCAGGCCGTGCCCAGCGCAGAGCAGGGGCAGAGCAGGGGCAGAGCAGGGGCAGGACCGCGCTGAGGCTCCGCCGCCGCTGCCGCCCCGCACTCGCCGCGGCCCGAGGGAGGAGCCGCGGCCCCGCCGGGCGAGCGCAGGCGCCGGGAGGGCCCCGAGGCGGCGGCACGTGACAGAGGCGCCATTTCGCGCCGGGCCGGGCTCGGCCCGCGGAGAAAATGGGGCGGGGTGGGCGTGTGAGGGATGCGGGGCTGGCGGTGACCCCCCGGCACTCAGGGACGAGTCCTGCCCCTGCTCCCTACCGGATCTGTGCCCCCCCCCCCCCCGAGCAGTAGGGGATGCTGTTCCCCCCCCGAAGGCCTCGGAGTCACCGGATCGATTAGGGTGGGAAGGACCTCTGAGGTGGTGGAGTCCAACCTCTGACTGACCATCACCCTTGCCAACTAGACCATGGCACCGAGTGCCACGTCCACTGTTTAAACACCTCCAGAAACAGGGACTCCACCACCTGCCTGCATGGAGTTCCAAGGTCTAATGCTCCATTCCAATGTCTGGTCACCTTCCTATGTGAAGAAATTCTTCCTAATGTCCAACCTAAGTCTCCCCTCCTGTAGCTTAATACTCTGTCCTCTCCTCTTGTCGCTGGTTGCCTGGGAAAAGAGGCTGATCTCCCCCTGGCTCCCCCCTCCTGTCAGGGAGTTGCAGAGCCAGAAGGTCCCCCCTGAGCCTCATTTTCTCCAGGCTGAGCCCCTCCAGCTCCCTCAGCTGCTCCTCATCAAACTTGTGCTCCAGACACTTCCCCAGCTCCACTGCCTTTCTCTGGATATGCTCCAGCACCTCAGTGTTCTTCCCGAATTGAGGGACCCAGAACTGGATACAGTATTTGAGGTGTGTCTTCACCGGTGCCAAGTACAGAGGGACAATCCCTGCCCCAAGTCCTGCTGGCCACACTATTGCTGATACAAGCCAAAGGTGCCACTTGCCTTCTTGGCCACCTGGACACATTGCTGGCTCACATTCATCTCCTGCTCATTTCCTGCCTCATGTAGTTTCCATCATTTCCTGACAGGAAGTGCCTGTAAGCCCTTGTCATCCTTGAGCTGGGGCAGCCCTGGCCTTTGGAAACAGCCCATGAGCCTCTTCCAGGCCATTCCCTTCAGGCACAGCCATCCCCTGCTCCTCCCACAGGAGCTAGGCATAGAATCATAGACTGGTTTAGGTTGGAAGGGACCTTAAAGATCATCCAGTTCCAACCCCTCTGCCGTGGGCAGGGATGCCACTCACTAGACCAAATTGCTCAGGGCCTCATCCAACCTGGCCTTGGACACTTTCAGGGATGGGGCAGCCACAGCTTCTCTGGGCAACCTGTGCCAGGGCCTCAACACCCTCTGAGTAAAGAATCTCTTCTTACTATCTAATCTAAACCTACCCTCTTTTAGTTTGAAACCATTGTCCTGTCACTATCTACCCATATAAAAAGTCCCTCTCCCTCCTTTTTATAAATCCCATTTATGCACTGGAAGGGGCTCCAAGGTCTCCCCAGAGCCTTCTCTTCTCCAGGCTGAACACCCACAGCTCTCTTAGCTTGTCTCCAGAGCAAAGGTGCTTCAGCCCTTGGATCATCTGCATGCCCTTCTCTGGGCCTGCTCTTACAGGTCCATGTTCTTCTGGTGCTGAGGACAAGAAAGGCCTCTGGAAAGCAGCTCTGTGGGCCCTGCTCTGTCCTTTCAGACAGGAGGCTCAGAACTGATGCAGGAGCAGCATCCTCTCAGTGCCCTTTCATTCCTGCCCCCCTCAAGGGCAGCCTCAACCAGCCCAGGCTGCTCAGCCCCCAGCTGACACCTCAAAAGAAGATGGGGGACAAGCAGCTCTTACTGATTTTTAGCTATCTGTTGGCCAAAAATTCTGAACAGCAAGGCTTTCCCTGCTTGCTGTGTGTATCCCCACTGCATGCCTCCCCAAAGCAGCCCACCAGGGAGAGAGGGCTGAGCGCTGCATCGTGTCCAAACTGCAGATGCCCAAACTATATCTTTTAATTTACCACCAAAAGCGTAATTTTTAAAAAACTTGCAGATTTTATCTATGCAGACTCACTGCACAACAGCTCGTGACTAGTCAGTGCTGCTTTATTACTCTGGTTATGTCTGAACAATGGAATTTTTATTACCAATTGCTACAAAACACTTGCAGGCACGGATTTCCTGGCCTTGGTATGTGGCAATTATTAACCAACAACAAGCCTTTATATCATCTTTTTATCAAGAGGTAATGCTAAACATGAGCAGCGTTTCTGAGGTAATTTACATCTGCCCTACATAAAACCAAAGCTGGCAAAATGTGACTAAGCATTTGTGTGATGTCAAAATACAGTTTCTTCAAAACCATCTGAAAAAAATGGAAAATTAGTATGTTGAGGGGCTAATGGAAAGAATATTTATCATACAGTGACTGTGACATCTTCAAAGTACACGATTTCCTCAGAAAGAGAGACAAAATACACTGCACATTTAAAATCAATATAATTTAGAAAATCTACCAAAATCACTCTCACCTATGTGGTTCTTGACTGCTTTATTCAGATCTTACAGGAAATAGGAGATTAAATTCCAGGGGTTTTTTTCAAGCATTTTGTTCCTAGTATATGGGTTTAGACTGATTTTTTTTTTTTAGTCAGTGCTCTGCAAAAAACATCTTTAACTTAGGAGTTACACTCTGCAGATGGTAATAGAGGATAGATTGTAAACAGAGATTAATGCAGATTTGCAGCTAGTATCTAAATCCACCAGTCATGGGTTTCTTTGGTGCATTGCCAATAACCTTTGGGCTGCTGGCAGGAGCAGGTTCAGATGTACTTTAGAAAGATTCATATAGGCTAATCTCTGTATAGAAGAGTTTCCTGTTTTGATCTAGCCTAGCAGAGGCATATTTTACACCTAAGTGGACAAGTATAGAATAGCATAGAAGGATCCTTTGCATTTTATAGCTCTGCTCATTATTGCTCAAATGCTTTCAGCTGTATATTAATAAAAGAAAGATCAGTTGTGGATTTGACAGTGCTGGAAGGAAAAAGGCACAAACATGGGCACACACAGGAGGTTCTGTCTTCTACTCATCTTCCAGGTGCCTGGCACAGAGCTGCTGCTTGTGTCTCCAAACCCTCCCTCTCACGCACAAGATGCAGAGGTGAAAGCAAACTGCTGCACTGGATCATAGAATCACAGGATGGTTTGGGTTGGAAAGGACCTTAAAGGTCACCTTGTCCCAACCCCCTGCCACGGACAGGGACACCTTCCACTAGACCACGTCACTCAGAGCCCCATCCAGCTTGGCCTTGATACAGGCCAGGATACTTTATACACCTCCTGCTTATCCAAGCCACTGCTGCCCACGTCATCCAGCCACTCAAAGCCAAGCTTAGCCTTCCCCCCTGTGGTTGTCTCTCCTGGAACCAGATTTACAGAAAGATATATTCTACTCATTTCTCATGTTTACGGTGATTACGGGAATACTTTGCATAATATTTCACATAGCTTTCGTAACATATACTCCTTTTGTACTTTGATCAAGTGTGATATCCAATGTTTTTTATCACTGGGCTTTGAAGTAGTAATCAAGAAAAACAATTTGAGTAAAACCACGAGTTAATTAGAATAATAAAGCTTTCAGGAAATCAAAATTTCCCTGAAACCAAAGAATGAACATGTGTTGCTTCAGAATCAGTATGCCATGCACTTGAGAGCTTTACAAAAAATGTGTGAAAAGTCTTGGTTATTGACCTTTTCTTAACCAGTTTTTAACAGAAGTACTCCAAAAATGAGACGAGAGAGTCGGAAAAAAAAATCTAAGGAGATAAAGTCAAGGATGTTTATTGTCAGATCAAGTCAGAAACTATACAGTATTGTAGTGTTCAAAGCCAGTTCATACAGAGACTTCTCAAAAAGAAATCACTGCCAGCTTTTTTTATCATGCCAACTTTGGCATAGCTGAATTTCATAGCAGGACTTACACATTTTAATGCAAGCTCTGCTTCATTGTCACCACAGCAGTGATTCTGACAAATCCACATAACCAAAGGATATTCTTAGTTGTGTGTTTGCTGTCCTGAACTCCTGAAAGATCCCAGTGGAGGCCACGGTGCTGGACTTCAGCTGGAATTTCACACAGGCACCATCATTTCCAAGCTGAAGGATGTTCAGGCTCAATCTAGTGTTGCATTTGTATCCATGTGCTAAGCCAAGGGCCTCCTATGCTGTATGTAGCCTCTCATTTTAAAAGCTTAATTGTCAATCTAAATTGAAACCCCAAAGACTCAAACTTCATGATCAAACTCTGCAGCTTTAACAATTTAAACTTAACTGAGCAGGCTGGAACAGTGAATGACCCTCATGCCCAGAAAGTGGGTTAGTATGTCGTGTGAGCTGGAGGCTTGTGTGCTGCTCTGTTAGACACCAGCTGCTGCCAGGCAGGCAGCAGGGAACAACCTGTCTTAGCATTAGACATCACCCAAACTCCTTTGTAAAAGTTTCTAGTGCCCACATTGAATCTGAAATACAATAAGGGAAAACAATGGCTTATTTACATCCTGTTTGCAAATGCTTTCCTTTATAAGAATGAGTCAAAATGTGGGTTTAAATGGACAAATCTTTATGAGATGAGCTTTTAGAAGTGCAAAAACAGTGTAATGTTGTCTCTCCAGAAATAAGCATGAATCACTAAAGGAAGTAACTCCAAGTATGTTGCAATTCAATCCCTTTGTTTAGTTCTATGATTCTATAAGAAGGTATATTACAGTAGGTTTGTATATATACTGGACATGTATATTTTAGACAAAATTGTTAATAGGTACAGTTAACAGTGCCCATCAAACTGCAAAATAAGTACAAGAAAAATTACTGATACTCTTTGTACTTTCTGTGAAAAAGGCCACCACAAAGCTGTATTAATAGTATATAACTTGTCTGAAAATAAACTGTGTGGAGATGCTGTGTTCCTGTAGGCACGTTATTCAAACCCCGCTGGGCCAACGTGTTTTCGTCTCTAATTTAAATATACA